TCAGAGAAGGCGAGGAGGGTTGGGCAGGAGAGATACATCTAGTAAAGAACGAGGGGACGCAGCGGACTAGCAAATGAAATATTTTATCTTTATATGCAGTTTCCCCGTTTATATTGTTCATCCTCCTTTACTTTACTTCCCTTTTTTTTTTTTTTTTGGCGAGTCTCGCGCTGCGGTGCACTAAATGTTTCAAATGGTTTAGAGATCCCTAACTCGTTTTTATTGTGCCCCATGTTATGGCTAAAATAAAGTGGTGGAAAAGGGAGAGACTAGAACATTACAGAAGGAGAGAGAGACAGTCAGAGAAAGAGAATCAGAGAGTTTTTTTAAGAGAGTGTGTGCGTGTGTGTGTGTGAACTTCCGCTTAAGCTTCAGATGATATAGAAGATGTTGAAACCCTTTAAACTTAAGCACTTTATGGTTGGCAAAATACTTTAAAACAGGGAGGGGAGGAAATGGAATGAGCAGGGAAAAACCCAAACCTGAAAATGTTATAAAATTCCAAAGAAAAGACAAGAAATGCGAGAGGAGGGCTACCCCTAAGGCAATGTAACTTTAAAGTTTAAACCTTAACAGGAACTTAGAATATACAAATTTAACGTGGAAAATAAATGATGATACGATTTAAAGGCCCACAACAAAAATTTAAAAATGCCCCCAAATAGATTCAAACGCGTTCAATATTCAATATAAATTACTAATTAATTATAATAAATATTTGTACCTTAAAATTTAAATGGATTTTAGTCCTCTTAACTCCACATATTAGTTGGAAAATTGCTGATACGTCCCGTTGGTCATATGTAACCACCAAAAATCGATATATTTCATGGCAGTTCCCACAAAAATACATATAGAAACAGAGTCCAACGCACTTTTGGCGCTATGTCTGCTGCCTGAGCAAAAGTTCCACAACAAAAAAAAGGCCAGGAAATAAATGAGCCAAGCGGGCAGGCAGTCGGAATAAAAGAATTTTGGGCCAGTGGCACAATAATTTGGCACGCAAACCTTTTTTTCCCAGCCCCACACCCCAAGAGAGGGTAGTGTTAGGGGGGTACATGCATAAAAAATGAAGTGAAATACGTTTTTGGGTACCAGAGAAGGAGACAAAAAGAGCCAGAGCCCCGACCATAGAACATTAAAAAATTGCCAAAAAGTCAACTCCTGAAAGGCACTAGAGGGACTCCACACACACACACCCAAAAGGGTAGCCTGGAGTAGGGGTAGAATCTAGATTTGGGGCAGGTCCTCTGCTCTGTCTTCCTCTCAATCTCTCTTTCTCTATTTCTCTCTTATGCTGCGGTCATAGTTTGCTTTGCGGATAAACATATAACAATTAGAGAGACCCGATTCCCTGCTCTATTTCTCTTTGTCTCGTTGCTTTGTTTTGTTGGATTGTCCACTTGGGAAATGTTTCGGGGAGGATAGTGTTATTAGGGGAGGTCATACCGCACATATGAGATTCACACACACACACAAGACTGCGAACTGGGCCCCTGGTCCCCTGTTAAATATTTGAGTAGATTTCATATTTAATTCACTTTAAGGGCAGTGGAGTTTTTTTTTATTTTGTCAGTACTCTGTTTTAAGACTACTATGCAAATGAGCTCCGGAAAATTTGGGTCAAAGTTTAGGATGTGGGTGTGTCTGCCTGTGTGAATATTTATGGGGCTCCACCATATGAATGCCCGCCCCAAGGCTCCTGATAATGTGGTGGGGCCTGGGACTACCTCAAATGGGGAAAATGTGGCACCTAATGTAGCAGAAAATTAAATTTTTAAAGGGAAAAGACATCACAGAATACACCGATTGAAAGTGAAATTGCTACTAACGAAATATTGAAATCTTTCACAACTTTTCAGTTTTCTCAACCCTCCTAATGTTCTTGTCACACAACCATAAATTCCGAATATATCAAAAGGGTTATAAGGGGCCGGGGCACCCATTCCATCCGTTTTCGTATGCAAAATATGTTGTAAAAATTTAACAGTCAGCAAACATAAATTAATTTAACAAATGAACAGAACTAAACAAACGCAGAGAAAAACGACACGAAAGAATCCCAGGAATTTAACCTGAGAACATAAATTTTATTTTCCTCCCCGCTTCACTACTCTGCCTTTTCAGTGGAGGAAACACCAAAGAACCCCAACCTCTTTTCCCTTCTCAGCTGGGTGAGGGGGAGGGAAACAAATGTTCATTAATATGCGAGACACATTTGAAGCAGAGCAGAGATGGTGCGGAAGGGGAGGGGCCGGAAAATAACAAAGAAAATGGAAAAGAAAACGAAAAGCATTTTGGGGGACATGGAATTTTAGAAAATTTATTAATTGGCAGCTAAATAAGCTGCAGGCATTAACATGTTCATAATTTTTATTGGCCAAAAGAAAAAGGGAGAAGAAAAGTTGGGGAAGGAATGAGTGGGGAAGGGGGTTTGTTTGGCAATAGAAACGACAACAAAATATGTCGAAATCTTTGGAAAAACAAAGGAAAATCAAAGGGGGATAGAGGTCAGAGAATATATGAAACCCAAAGAAAAGATAGCTGCGGGGTTCGAAGAATTGGATACCCTTGAAGATGAATCATTTCATATGACAGCTAGATGATATAGTGCTTCGAATTTTTGGAATAAAGTTTCTCCCACAAATACTTCTTTTAAAAACGTTTGCTCCTCTGATCTGAGAGGTTTTGGGCTATATATTCAGAAAATTCTTCCAAAAAAAACGGAGCAGACGGACAAGGTCAAGTATTCATATATCTGATATCTGAAATTTAAGCAAATTAATAAATTACCAAATATAATGGCATATATATACGTAATATTTCCAACGCCAATCCCCAGCAGAAGCCAACGACGGACAGACATCGCTTATTGCCAGCTGTTGAGCGCCATTTCGTTTAAGTGCTTCTCACTTTACAGAGAGGGTGAGAGAGAGGGCCAGATCCAGAGGCAGCAGCTGGTAACGCCCACACATTGTTGAAGCAGGGGCGGAATCAAAGAGGAGGAGAAAACGAGCTGAAATTCATGGCCTTTTAATTGCAGTTGGCAGCGCAAAAGGAAAGGGATAGAGAGAGAGAGAGAGAAAAGGCAGAAGTCAATGAAGCATTTTTGGGTTTGTCCATCGATTCGCTCCCTCTTTCTGTCTCATTTCCTTTCTCTCTTACATACACACACGTATACATATATATAATATATATATAAAAAATATATATATAGACACAATTGTTAATTGAATGAAGGCCAACTTGAAAAATGGGCTTGACTTTACCGACGACAACCTGTTGAATCTGCTGCCGCTTGAGTGATTTATGGTTAAGAACTGTGACTCGAATAAAACGGTATTCAGGCCAAAAAAAGAAGAGCCAACAGGAGCGACAATTTACTTTCAATTAAATATCAGAGTTTGCTAATATATTTACATATATAGACCAAATTTAAAGGCAACTTGCAATAGATGGACTGATTTTAACTTTGAAGTTGCTTCTAGAGCCTTATTTTTATATTTATTTGATTAATATGCACTCCTGGCAGCAGCCATAAAAATTACCCATGCACAGCAAAAAAGGGAAAACCTTTTCGGGGTAAAAATAAATCAAAAACAAAATCAATGAAATTCAATGAAGTGGCCGTACTCCGCCACACACAGGCAGCCTCCACACGAAAAATTGCTTTACCAATTTATTTATAACCGAAAAAAGGAAAAGAGGGAACCTCAAAGAGGTTTCCCGTAGGGTGTGCGTAGGGGATGTAGGTTACGTATGTACATACATATATGTGGGGGAATTCCTATAATTGAATTATATTTACGCATGAAATTTATTTATTCATGATTCCTGCATGTGTGTGATCCTGAGAAAAAAGGAAGCTCATGCTGGAGAGCACGTACGTGTAATTTAAATTCATTTAGTAGTACAAAGGAAGCCAGGGTTGCCAGGGCAATGTAAATGATTTCAGAATAATGCTAATGGGAAAGAACAAAACACAACCAGAAAGCAAAACAACATTTCCTAGAGTTATTTTTAGTAGAAAATTCCAATGAAAACATAAATCCGATTATGTGCCGGAGTTTACTGCTAAAAGCAAACACAGAGCTACCACCTGATGGAAATACCTAGAGTTCTTCCGCTTTAGGTGATAATGGAATAGGGATTTTCCCTAATATTTCACATAAATTAAATCCGGATGTGGAAGTAAAAAAAAACAGAGTTGTTAGCTAATGGTAGAATTTGGAGAAAGGTTTGTTTCCATTTTAGAGATGACATTGAAGTACGCATTCCCCGTTTCCCTTTTATCCCCTCACAACTCTACGTTTTTCATCAGTGTGTCCTGGCTTTGACATGGACTTAATTACATTTTTGCGCTTTGCCCAAAAGTTTCGCCTAAGAACTTGAGAGGGGGGTAAGAACTGGGGGCGGTACAGGCTGGTAGAGACTCTGAGAGGAGACTTAGAGAAAAGGAGGCAACAAACTGTTGACTGCTTGCTGCCTGCTTTTGGGGCTCGCCCCAAAGCGGCTTAGCAGATTCCACATTGTTGGTGTTTGGACTTTAAAATTTCTCTCTTATTCTCTCTCTCGCCTCTCTCTCTCTCTCTCTCTCTCTCTCTCTCTGACCCATTTCCCTATTTACCTTAAGCTACCTGTCTCTCTTACGTCGTCTCTCTTTGCACTTTTCAAATTTCTCCTACTCAGATTTAGCAGTTTTACGGAAATGGAAAGAGCTTTTGGCCAATGCATTGGCAGAGGAGAGAGAGAGCTCTTCGCTTGAGCATTTCCGTCTTGCATTAAAGTCCATTCCCCCCCCATTCCCATTCCTGGCCAGGAAATTTGATAGAAACTTCTTTAAATCTGCCCACAGACAGACCTGCCACAGGAAAAACTCTCTAACAGGTGGAAGGAGGCAACAAATTGGTTTTATGTGGCATTTCCGCAGAGAGAACTCCAGTTAATGAAGAGGTGTTGGAGCAGCAATGCTGCGGGGGAGTTGTGTAATTGGAGCTCACCTTCCTGGATGGGAGTTCTGAGAAGTGTCCTGTCCTCCAGTGGGATGTCTGCTTGATGCCAATTATATCATAGCTCTGAAAAGAAAAAAGAAACTGGGTCAGTAAATGTATTGGTGTGTGTGTGTGTGTGTGAATGTGCGTGAATGTGGTGCATGGAGCTTAGACTTGTCTACGATTGAGTGATGCACATCCCGGAGCTTGAGTGTCCCGGAGCTTGAGTGTATGGCGTAGCTGCCACTCATTCCACACCCAAATAAGTCTTTAATTGTGAGCCAACGATAAACGATAACTTTATCGATTGTTCGCTGAAGCATGACGTCTGTCTGTCGCACTATCCTCACCCCTCAGCAGCCAGCAACCAATTTGCTAGCAACTTTTGGCCTGTCAACAAAGTTTTCATCACTGTCAGCGGGTCTAACAACTCAACTACATTCGTCCAGGGGGTGGCGGGGTGTGGAGGCTAGGAGTTGCATGTGCAACATGCTGTTGCTCACACTGAAAGAATGCACGCATGGATAAGCACAGACAGCACAGGGCTGCAAAGACATGAAGTTCGCGTACAGAGTGAACAGGAAAAATTACTTCTTGGAGCAGCCCTGTAGCACTGTAGCTGTGGAACTAGCTCTTTCTCGTAGTTTTGTTTCTGTTGCCACAAAACTCTTGCCATTGGAAGTAAAATTTTTGAATGCACCATGCACGATGTTATACCACACAACAGCAAAACAGGACAAAAACCAGGACACGCACTAATCGGCACATCAAACTGTCAGGCGACTTGTTATAGATTTCGTTGAGTAGTGTACACTACACACTTTTTGCTGCAGCTAGTAGGAGCCGGATGCCAGGCCATGCTACACCGTTGGCAAAGCCAGTTTGCTTGGCTGTCAGTTGGGTTTCCGTTTTGGAAAATGTTTGCAAATTTGTATACGGAAAGTGTGGAGTTTGGTTGGCGAGGGGGTGGGTGGAAAAACTCTATGCAACATTAATGAGCAGCATATTCTCTTGCTTTCCCCTCTGTGTGTTTGCTGCCAAATCAGAGGCAACGTAGCGTATGCTTGATCTTGTTACACGCGCAGCTAAATGTCAATTTATTTGCCACACTCCAAGGCACTAAGCCGACGTCGTCTCAGTCTCGGTCTCAGTTTCCTCAACCTTCATCAGTTCTTCGCATCAACGCGTGCCAGCCACATGCCTGCTTCGCTCTTCTGTCTTGTCTGTTTGTCTGCCTGTTTGTCTGTTTGTCTGTTTGTCGTGTCTGTCTGATGAGATGTAATCGATGAGCAGCACTAGTGCTGGTGCTGGCGGCCTGACTGAAGGACTCACAGCTGAATGCCCCCCGCCTGGCTTCCTCTCTCTCTATCTGGGCAATTTGATTAAAACTCAACGTTGGAAATCGAATTATGCTTAAAATTGATGCGCTTGAGGGAAGCTTGTTAATGATTTTAATCATCATTTATTCTAATTACATAAATAATTACATACGTATATTTTAAGGCTGTGGCTTTGCCATTGAAAGAGTTTTAGTATGGAAAATGACAGTCACATTAATATATTTTAATTGGATTTACATATCAGACAAATATGTGGAATCATATTGATCAATAAAACTGCAATGCAATGTCATATCTAATTGCATGATTAAAGGCATACTTGCAGTCAAAGCAGAGCTTTGCCATTGACAGATAACTAATAACTAAATGCATCTGACTGGTTTAATGAGAGTTAAAAGCACTCTTAAAACAGATGGCTTTATATTCGCATCTTTAAATAATGACAAAACAATCAATAAGACACCTGAAATGCATTCCATGTATCTTTATGTGTTGTATTTTCGCCTGAAATCTGGAAAAATATTCAAAGAAAAATGTCAATCAAACAGAAATCAACTTTTCCATTTCCATACCGTAACAATTCTCCTTTTTAAAGCCCCGCCCAATAAATTTTTTACATTCTTAGCCCACCTGCCACCATCGTCTGGCCCCCATTGTCTGCAGCAGTTCAGGTGCATTTTACACCCTGTTTATGGTGCGGCGGAAGCGGACCACCACCACCATCATCCCATCACAATGAAAAGGACAACCACAAAAGCCAAGATGAGAGAAATCCGAGAAAATTGAAAACGAAAGTTGTAAGGCAAACAGCTGAGGGACGGACGAGCAGAGAGGGTAGAGCGAAGGTTAAAATGGAAAGCCGTAAGCGAGAAATATTATTTTTATGTAACCTTTTTTTTTCCATTCTTAATATATACTTCCAAGCAGACCAATGTCTGCTGCGGGTGAAAAGAGCTCTGCTGCTGGTCACAGCTGATGGAGAAGCCAACGAGAGAGTGAGGGAGAACCAGAGTCAATAATGCCGATAGACGGCAAATAAAAATGTTCCTTGGGGGGATGGGCGATGAGCAGCCGCCTGTAGCACGTTTTTCGATTTCATTGCTTTGTGGTTATTGTTTCGGGGGGCCGGGCTCAGACAAAGGGCTTCTGCGACAGGGTCGAAAGCAGTAGCCAAAGTCAGAGCCAGACCCGAACCTCAACAGACCACGAAATGAATGCCAAAAACAGCCACGCAGCAAAAATATTGATACCAGAGCAGGGGTAGACGTAACCAGGACCCACTACAGAAAGGGAGAGCGTTAACTCCTTTTTTTTCGGTTCAGATACGTGTATAAAAGTTGGAGAACTTCCCCTAGCTATTAATAAAATACCAATGATGGCTTAAACCCGGCAAATCCTTTTCCTTTACCATTTACCTCTGTCTGTCTCTGCTTTGCTGCTGTCTCCATTCTCACCTCGGTTTTAGTCCATTCTTCTGTCTCCATTTTCTGCATTCTTCGTGTCTCCATTCTCACCTCCTATTTAGTCCATTCTTCTGTCTCCTTTTCTGGCTATTATGCTTTTCTAGCAATTTCGCGCCACGATTTGGCTTTCACTTTGACTTTGGCATTGGCTTTTGTTCCCATTTCAATGCCAGACACGGTCCGAGCCCAACGGAGTTGTTTCAGTTGTACCAGGTTTTCAATTCGTGAAAATGGTTGGTTGGGAAAGCGGAAACGGAAATCGCTGGACAACTAACAAGCAGCAGTCGTCGCGACTGACAAGAGAATGGCGGCCTCCATTTCCCTCCTTCTCCCACAAAATCAAAGCTCTCCTCTAAAGCCAGCAGACAAATAAATGTTGGCTCATTCCCCTCTCTCCGATTCCCTGTTGCTCTGCCTGTGATTGTTTGATGTCTCGTCTGCATTGTCTCTCCATGGGTTTTGTTTTTTTTTTTTGTCTGGAATTCAGCGACCAATTGGCAATTATTTTAGACAAATAATTGCCCAAACCCAAGAAATTGTTTGGGGAACGCCATGCAGGTCCCAGAGCCAGTTAACTTTTTCTTTTATATTTGTCTCTCCAAAAAGTTCTCTTTTTCCCCCATCTCTGTCGCTGTCTCACCCACTCATTTCTCCAGACATATTCAAACTAATTGAACGCGCCGTGGAGGAGCTCTGGCAAGTAAATCAGAATCCCCTGTGCTGTGCGCCTTGATGGCTGGGACGGGGGGCCACATGAACATGAGCCACTGTTTCGCACTCTTCAGCTAAGTATTTGGTTACCGAGTGGCAGGAATCTGACGGGGGAGTACTACTGCTCGTACAGTGAGTACACTCGTAAGTGCTTGTTATGACAGAAGCCCCGCTTAAAGCAAATGCAAACAACGGTTCAATGTTGCGGCTAACTGGTTCGAGAAGGTCTCGGGCGGGCGCTCCGGTTCGAGGTCTGTCATATGAGACACTTGAGAAAGAATTTGCTGCTGTTGCTGTTGCTCCTACCGATGGGAAACTTTCAACTTGTGGCGTGGGCGGTCGTACGTACGCACAGAAGGCAATCTTCTCGTTATTTCAGCTTCGTTTGCGGGTCATTTGGTACGGATTTCCTACGGATTGTTGAGTCAAAGCTGATGCTAAGCGGATTTTAAATGCTTCTCAACTGGCTCTGTGCATTGTCCTTGATTTACACGCAGTTATGGAATGCCTAATTGGCTCTCGTTGAAGGATGCGATTTGGGTCATGTGGATGGACAGGTTAAACGGAAGAGTTAAGGGCTTATTGAAGGCCATTTTCAGTGCTTGCACTATGAAAGCAGAAGGTGCATGCAGAGCGAGGCTAAAAGAGATTTTGAAAGAGCATTATGATGCGTTTAACAGAGCCGGAACTTCCGTTTCTGAACTTCCGTGCTTTGAACTAAAGAAAGTGTCAAGTATGTGTACCATATCCATAAATAATGTACATACAGTCTTCACTTTCCGTAACAATCTAACTGCTGTGGCAGACATTTCTCACACCCAGTGGACGCTAAAAGGTTTTCTTGTTGCCTTTAAAGATACATACATATATTGTGCAAAGATATATTCAATCTGAAGACAGAAGCAACCTGAAGAGCGTAGGAATGGATAGATGAATGCTGACAGTTGATTGAACATCTTTTTTTTTTGCCTTGTGGAATGACAAAAACGCCCCACGGGTGACATTTCTCAAAACACTTTACGACTGCAGCCAGCCAGCCAGCCAGCCAGCCAGTCAGTCCGTCAGTCAGTCAGGCAGGCACCTTTTGGCCATCATTTGGTGGATGTTTAAGGTGTTGCAGCCTTGATTTACGAGGGAGTTTTTCAGAGGATACCATTTGCATAGAGCGCCTGGACCCTGTACCCTGTACCCTGGACCCACGGAAGTAGGAAGCCAACGGCCAATCATTAAAACGTCGGCATGATGAGTTCTCTCTCGCGCTTATGGTCCTGAGGCTATACTCGCGGTTTTAAATTACCATTTTAATGTTGCCCACTGCCGCTGATTGATGTGGCATGATGCTGATGCTGATGCCGATGTTGCTGATGTTCCTGTGGCATGGGGGAGGGGCTGGCGCAGGAGTCCCATCAGTGCGGCAACAGCAGCAGCAGCAACAGCAGTCAAAAATGTAAATGCTTTTCATCCGAATGAAGAGTTTTTTCTCCTAACAAGCTTTTGGCATTTTGTCTACCGTTTTTCGTTTAAAAGTCATAAAAACAGAGGAAAAAGATTTCCTTTTAATGCTGACCAT